TGCGCCGGCTCCTTCCCCGACCTAGAGCGTTCAATGGTGACGACAGGCCGGAACCCGTGTGGCCCCTTCCTGCCCCCCTCAGTGAATCTCCGAATTAGCATCCAGTTTCAGGCCCTACATGAAATTAGGGGAAAGGAAGTGGCATTTCGTGTGCACTTCCACCATATGCAAGGCCTTAAGTAGCTGAAAGGGGAGACAGGACCTCAGTCGGGATTTCAAATGCTTCATGCCCACCTACCATAAAGGGCCACCTCTGCATCCTTACTGTCAACTCTCAAGTCCAGGCGGGAAGATGCATAATCTATAGCCCAGTTTAAGGTATTTTTACGTACCCAACCTGCTAAAATGTTTGCTATTCTATTAAAAGTATTCAGTCCATCACAAGGGAACTTCTTTTGGTTTATGCAGATGCAGTTGCCCCAAGAGATTTTATTAAACTGGTATCTGTCACTGTCAGTTAACACCCAATTCTGCGACTGCCCGGTGTAACCTAACCACTTCTCAGCAAGTCCCCCTAATGCCGCTAATGAGAGAAGCTTGAAAACCCACGCCCACTTGCGGGGGGCCGGAGGGTTCGTGTGTTTGGAAGCAGCGGTCCAGGGTAGGGCCTGCAGTTTGCTCTCTATCGGGGAGCTGCGAAGAGTGCCAAGAAAGCTCTTCACCATCCTCCAGTCCCCTTCCCCAGTCAGGCCCTGTGGGGGCAGAAACCTTAAGTTTCTGCCTCCATTTCGGTGGGCCATAGAATTATCTGTAGCAAGGCTGTGAGGTCAAAAAATGTGGGGAGCGCTGTCCTTGTCCGTTCACTGCTTTGATTCAGTCTAGCCCAACGACTTCTTCACAACAGCAAACCGAACTAATGCGATGAGGCGTGTGGCCCAAAGCCACACAGCTTTCCGTGGAGGCAGTATGGGGTAGGGCTTAGAAGACAGGTTTTAGCGGCAACTCCAAAAGGATCCTGGCTCTTCCATTTAGTGGCTGAGACATTTTGGTTACGCAAGTTATCCTTGCTGAGCCAGTTTCCTCATCTGTGAAATGAGGCTAATGATGAGTATCTTTATGCTTAGAATGAAGTAAGATTATGTACGGAAAGCATTGAACAAAGTGCTGATAAATGCTCAATAAATGGTTATTACTATTATTAGAACTCAGGTCTTCTGATCCTGACCTCCCAATCCCCACCCTCCATTTTCCTTTTATCATCCTGCTTCCTCGGAGGACCACTAGTATTTATTGAGTTGATGAACCCAACAACTGGTCCATGTAAAAGCATATTGCAAAGTATGGTTTTTGTATTGCTTTGGAGAAATCACAAATGTCAAGATATAAAGTCTAGTCTTACGTGCAAAGGCACTTAAGTATCCCTGAACCATTACACAAGTCTTCCAAGGTGTACCGAAGAACCCATGGGGCATGTTTCAGGAGACCCGTCAGTGCCTCCTTACAGATGACTAGGCAGGAGGTTGAGAATTAAAGAAAGTAATGTTGCCCCAGTTTTGACACTGCAGAGGTCATTGATGAATGGCTCCGGGGGCAACCTGTCCCATCCATTCTATCATGGAGACCCAGATCAAGCACGTCCGAGGTTCTAGCTGAGAATGGAGAACCAGTACCGCTCCTGTAGGAAAATGTTTCATACCACACACAAGTCAACGCTGTGGGAAAGGAGATTTTTATTTTTTCTTTCCATGCTGTGGAAGGACATCATTTTCCCCAGCTTTACTTCCTCCCTCAAGGAGAATAAAAGATAGCAATTCCCCAGGTCTCAGGGCGAAGCTACTTCTATGTGGACCTAGCCAAGGTGGGACACAAAGACCAGTGACTGATTCCAAATCTACCAGCTGAATGTATCAACTGCTACTGAAGGGCAGGCAAGTGACTGGAAGGCAAGTTGTGGACTTGGCCTCAGGGACCAAGAATTTAAAGACTACAAGGTGATCTGAACGAAAAGGTAAACACGCTGGACCCCACCTCGGAACCCACATCTGGGGGGGCACCTGGGTGGCTCAGTTGGTTAAGTGTGTGACTTCAGCTCAGGTCGTGATCTCACAGCCCAGGAGTTCAAGCCCCGCATGGGGCTCTCCGCTGTCAGCGCTGAGCCCACTTCAGATCCTCTGTCCCTGCTTCTGCTCTCTCAAAAAGAAACTTAAAAAAAAAAAAACAAAAAACTCACCTAGTATTTTGGCCACTGAGAACCAGCAGTGTCTAAAAGGGCCACAGCCTAACAGATCGAGTCTTAAGCGTCCCTTACCATTGTCTTTGGCCTGGACCTTTAGCAGGAAGAGCAGAGTACTAAGAAACCCTGTGAACACAAGTTTCCAGGCAAGGTCACAGCCTCAAGGAAGATAGGCTACGGCAGAGGACTCCAACACAATGCAGGTTTTCCCTACTTACAGAACCCCCGCTGGGACCTCTCCAGGAGATTGTGATCATGAAGCTAATTCCTTGTCAAAACCATGGGAGTTCTCAAGTTGGAGTACAAGGGAGCAAAATCAGCTAATCTGGGATGTGAACGGGGAGACCAGCAGGGGCCGAGACCCAGGAGGAAAGACCATAGGCCTCGACACAGCTTTTCCAAACGTTAACTTTGATCATTTATTTGAAGGGGGAAAACAGTCACGACAAAGCAGATCATAAAAATACTGTTATCCTGAACTCATTTTTCAGGAAGGGGCACCAGGGAAAAAAATCAAAATATACTTTGGAATGGATTATGCTTTCGAGACAACGAGTATATCTTTAAGCATTAGGCTAACTCTGTGGTTTGCTAACATAAATGGTGCAAAAAAATTTCCAGAGAAGTAGGAGCTGGTGCCATGACTTCAGGCAAAGGTGGGAGTTACTGGGTACATAGGCAGGAGAGTGGTGGGGAAAGGCACGGCGTCCTTCCCCAAAGATTAAAACAATCGGGAGGGGGTGCAGAATGCTGTCCTCTTCCATCCAAGAACCTCAACACATTGGACAATCTTCCACGTTTTACAAGGCTTGCCCAGTCTCGGTCACCAAACCCACTAGGACCAGGGCCAAGAATTTCCACTGCTTCTTGTTCTGAGGACTTCCAGGTGGTTCTTGCTTGTGAAACGGGAAAGCCACGGTTTTTGGTTTTTTGTGAAACACAGTTAAGAGACAGAGATGCCCTTGGGTTGCTCTTGAAGAAAAGAGATAAAACCAAATGGCAGTTACACTTGGCTTTGATAACCTGGGCTTAAGTCTTTAAAATCTTTTGTTTCTTTCCAGCTCTCCTTCCAATGCTTTACATGCAATTTGGTCAGAGATGCCAGCTTGAGAAAACTAGACTCTATAATACATTGGGAAAACCGACTGCTTTACCTCAATGAAGACTAACCCACTCTTTTGCAGCCTCCCCTCTCCTTTCCCTCTAATGGATCTGAGAAGCGAGCTCCGTGCTCCAGAACCACCAAGGTCAGGCTCTACCCCATCCCCTCCAGGCCAGTCACCGAGGGCAGCACTCAGGCACAGAGATTTCCTTTAAACCCGAATTTGACTCTGATGAACAGCCAGGGTGGAGAATCTCTCTCAGGGTTCCAGGCTTTTTATGTTTCATTCTCTCTCAGGAGCTTCATACAAATGAAAGAGCTGAGCCACTTTAAGGAACCTCTGCATACATAGAGAGGAGCAGGAAATTTTTCCCAATAGAGTCGAGGTTAACCCTAGTTCACCCTCCTAACCCATGACAAGAAGGGGGCAGGACCGTCTACCCTAAATTCAAAGGTAGTTGAGGGTTCAATGCTATTTAGAGTCATTTCATGCTGCTGTCGTTGGGAAAGAACGAGACAGCTGTGGAGAGCTTCACCAGAATCTCACCGATGGAGGTAGGAAGAATAGAAAAAATAATAAAAGTTGATGGGAGAACGAAATACTGGATGGGCAGATCAGAAACAATTATTACTGGCTTCTTGCCACGGACAGGACAAAAGCACAACACAAGACGCACAGACGTCGTGTATTAAGCACTCCTCCCCACCCTCAGGATACTTTGCAATACACACAGCGCAGTTTTAGCAGCTGGAAATAAGAGGGGGCGGAGCAAGCTGCACCGCCCCCCCCCCCCCCCCCCCCCCCCCCCCGTGTTTTACACAGGAACTCTCTCCCTAGGTAGCACCAGTCTCCCCAGGAGCGGGCTGAGACAGGACGGGGAAGAGGTCAGCGCAAGTCTGCTCGCCCTTCGACGGTGCCTGGGGGGCTCGGCACGCACGGCTCTCACGTTCCTGTGCAGAAGCTGGGGAAGGAAGGGCTGGCTTTGGGCCCCTTCCTGCTCTGAGGCAGCATCCTAGAGAGGCGGGGCCTGATGGGGAGAAAACTCGGTCACCAAGCCTCGACTGGTGACTGGATTTTTCAGTTAGCGTTCAAACACCTGTCAACCTCCCCCAAGGCTGTGTCCTCGAAGGCCTCGTCCTAATTGGCAAGAAGCAAGGAAGGGGCTGAACAACAGCACTTGTGCAGGGGGGGGCGGTGCCCCGGCAGGCAGCCCCTTCCCTCCCTCGTCCTCCTCCTGTCCTCCTGCCACTCCGCTCTCGCAGCTGATCTGGTAGACACCAGGCACACGCACCCTCCCCAGGCCCTCCTCACCACCTCCAGCTCCCCCGCGGCACCCTCACAGATGGCCATTAAAAAACACAATCTCCAGGCAACTTTGCATCCAGTTTATCTTGAGCCTCACTCCTGCGTGGGTCAGTAACCGTGTTCCCAGGAGGGACCTTCTCAGCACTTAGGAATCTGAGCTGGTCAGGACGTGGGCTGCTTCTCCAGGAACCTGGGTCAAGAGCCAGCTCTTCTCCCGGTTTTAACCCCAGAAATTCTAAATAGTGTCTGAGCGCTCACTCTGCAGAGCTCAGCTCGGAAACGTGCCGATCAGATCAGAACTCTTCGGTGACATTCAACTCAAAGGCAACATCTTGACGGGGCAGATATGCTCCAGGGAGAAAAACAAAACAGAAGGCGTGAACAAGAGCAACAGACAGAGGGGACACTGGAAAGAAAACAGGCCAAAGGGCAGACAGGAGCAGAAAACCTGGGCCAAACTGCAAAACAGCAGCTCAGGTCAGGCCAGTGCTTCACCTTCTCAATTCATTCCAGAAAAGTCAGCCTGGAGCAAGGGGGCGGGGAGGAGCAGGAGCACAGTGTTTGGTAACAAAAATAGAAAGGGCTGGGTGAGAAAAGAGGCAAAGAGATGGCATTCTAATCAGCATGAAGTGACCGGGGCGATGACCAGCAAGATAGGAGGCACCTAGGGACCCTGTGAGGCACCAGCTGTGCAGCCACGTGTTTCTAACGGAGAAGCCAGGGTCTGACCGCCTGACGTCCACTTTGGCCTTCACCTGCCCTACGTGTGCAGCAGCACCTCCGGCTCAGACAAGGAGCAATAGAGAGTATATCCCAATTCATCTATTTCTTCAGGAGTGAGCTCTGCAAACAAGTTCACCTTGGGGTTCAGGGCACTGGGCAGGACTCCGGCCTCTAGGTAGCTGATGAGTCCCCTCAAGGCCTGCAAGAATCGGTCGGCCAACATATCTGGAGACCAGTCAGCCTCCTCCTGGGCCAAGTGGAGGATGACGTTGGTGAGCTGGCTGGCAGTGAGGTGGCCCAGAGCCGGAGTGGACTTGCATATGGCCTTGAGGATCTTGAGGCACAGAGATCGGCAGCCCGAGTCGGCCTGGTCCAGAGCCCGCAGGCGTGCCGTCTCTGCGGGCCGCAGGCTCAGCCGCCATAGGTTGTCATACTGGGCCAGCCGGTGTGGTCTGGCTACCAAGACGGTGTCGCCGAGGGTCACCGACGGCAGGAAGTCGATGACGAGATGCTTGTCGCGCTCATACTGCACTTCCAAAGTCAGGGCTTCTGGGGGTGGTGCCGGTCGGATCACGTAGTCCAAGAGGGACCCTATGGCTGGCCAGTTGATGGAGCCAGCCACTACCTTCTCAAATGTGTCTGCCACCGTCTTGGGGGAAAGGTAGCCGCCTACTACGCAGCGGTCCCAGTAGCTGCTACCACGAGGAAAATACTCCGGGTTCTCACGGCGAACCAGGCAGAAGCCGGGGACATTCATGATGGTGTCCTCACCAGGGATACACGACCACAGGTTCTGCTCCAGCACCAGGGGCACGATAAGTTGGATGTGGTCAGCTGTCACCACCTGTTGGAGCACAATTAAAAAGGTTTTGAGGGATTTAATCTGCTCAAGAGAGAACTTTCCCCAAACACAGGTCCCACCATCTTGTATTCCCCCATCAATAAAGGAAACAACGAATTCGTTCAGAGCAAGGATTTGAACCCCGGTCTGTCAGAATAAGAAAAAGAAAAAAGAAAAAAACAAAAAACAAAAAAACAGAAAGGGTTAAGGAAGACACGACAAGGGCTACGGCAGCAGGTGGACTTCAGAAACAGTAAGACCCGAGGCTTCAGTCTTTCTGGCACGCCTGGGACACCGATCTTCTGTACAAGAGCACTCTTGAGAAACGGCTTTTTTTGTTTTAAATGTTTTACTATTTTCTTTGAGAGAGAGCGTGAAGAGCGCTCGTGCGCACATAAGCCGGGGAGGGTGGCGGGGGCGGGGTGCGGGAGACAGAGGATCCAAAGCAGGCTCCGCACTGTCAGCACAGAGCCGGACTCGGGGCTCGAATTCACGAACTGTGAGATCGTGACTTGAGCCGAAGTCCGACGCTCAACTGACTGAGCCCCCCCAGGCGCCCCCGGAGAAGCATCCTGGTCAGCACCCGACCCTACCCTTCGTGAGAACCACCTTGGTACCTGCAGGTCGTCATAGAGGCTGCCACTCAGGTACATGTCCCGGAGCGGCATGTCCGGCAACTTGGCCCGCAGGAAGCTCCGGAGCTCGGCACATATGTCCACGGCAGCTTGCTTGGCCCGAGCCTGCTCGCCAGCAGGGATGGCCGCCCGGTTCCGGTAGTAAGTAAGAAGTTTCTCCTGCAGGGACATGCGGAGCCGTGACTTCTTCAAGTCTACCTGGCCCTTCCTGGCCAACGGCTTGGGCCGGGGCGGGCAGAATGTATCTGCCAAGGCAAGAGAGAGAGGCACATGAGCTCTTCCCGCGCTCGCTCAGTCCACAGCTGCCTCGGCCCCGGAAAGGAGGGCCTGGCACGAAAGTGCAAGCGCGGTGCCTGGCACACGGGCGCTCAAGAAAGGTCTGCTGAAAGCGGGGGCGGTACTGAGCACCCAGAGAGAAGCCCCGGAGGGGCGGGGGCCTTGTCCTCACCTGCGTCAAAGGCTGAGGAGTCTGTGGGAAGGGTCTGCAGGGACCGGCTCAGGCCTGTCTTCATTTCTTTATTCAGCAGTCGGGGCGAGCCCATCCAGTTCGGTTCCTCCCAGCTCCTCTTCCCTGAATGGCTCAGGCGGGTGGGGCTGGTAGGGGCACTGATCGCCCTGTCGTACATCTGAAATAGCAGAGGCCGCGGCATAGGAAGCTTCCTGCCTCCGTTTCCCTTCTTCTCAGCAGCTCTGCCCTAGGGGGTTTGACTACTATTTTTCAATAACTTTAGTTTTACTCTAGATTATGGAACACTGTGCTCCGTGCAGAAAATCTCAGGAAATACTAAATGATGCAAACAAGAAACAGATCTACCATAAGGACACAACACAGACACGACTGTTAATATTTTGGTCTGGCTCCTGCTGGGAAATATGTAGGTATATACTTAGGATCCTACTCTACGTATACTTGCGAAACTGGATTTTTTTTCACTCATCCTTTTTATCATCTCCCCACTGTCACTGAAAACGAACCCAGTGGTCAACACTATGTACCTTTTCTGACTATTCAGCATTGTACCTTATGAACGTACCATAATGTTGAACACGGATTCATTTATTTACCGGATATTTACCGAGTGGCTCCTACATGCCAGGCGTTGTTCTAGGTGCACAGAGTCAAGCAGTAAAACACAGAGACCCAATCCCTGCCCGCATGAGTCTGCAGTGCAGTGGAAGGATACAGGCAATATGTAATAAACAAGTTAAATGTGACATACGCAGTCAGAGATAGACGTTAAGAAAAATAAAGTAGAAAAGGGAAACAGGAAGTGTGTATGTGGTGGGAGTGTTGCTATTTCAAATCAGGGAGTTAAGGAAGGGCATTTTGGTTATTTGTAGTTGTTTACTCACTGGGATAGACTTATTTGTATTGCCACCGATTTCTTCAGGGCGGAGTCCTAGAAGTAGACTTGCCGAGTTCTCCTATGGGCTCATCTAACAATGTCAGATTTCCAGGTTATGCCCCCATTAGCAGTATCCGAGGCTCATTCAAGGTCAGCTCCACTTTACAGAGGCAGCCTCATTGGCCTCCCCCACTCCTGGCCCTGGCTGCGCCCACTTACCCGCTTAACTGCCAGTGTGGCGATGCCCAGCATGGCTGCTCCGCCCACCCCCAGCACCAGCCGGGCATTGGAGAGCACGAAATCAATGGCCGTGCCGATGCCATTGTCATCCTTCTTGCCTTTGCGCTCACCAGAGCCTGCCATCTCTCACCTGAGGACGAAGTCAGAACACAGCCATCACCACCTGGGACTCAAGAGCCACCCCTCCTCCCTCCTCCATCAGGCCACGCGGCAGTAGGGACAGGGCATTCTATGAATTCCAGCAACCCAAATCCTCCTGCCTCTAGCCTGCATGCTCTAGGGTCAAGGGAGAGATACCACGCCCCATGACATATCTGCATATGCAAGGGGTGGGGGGGAAGAATGGATCGCGCTCATTGTGAACAAAATCTCTCCACCAATCTACTGAGGTTGTAGAAAGAAAGCCTTAGCTCAGTGTTCATCAATCCCTTCTTATATTATATCATATCATATCATATCATATCATATCATATCATATCACCCTACCATGCACTTCAACCTTCTCCCTCTCCCTTCCCACCACGGTAGCGTAGATTGTTTTGATCCTTTGCTACCACTTCCTGTAAGGTGAGACCTGAGAAGGTCTAACCTAATAGACTAGGTTAGCAGATGCTCATCCAGTCCCATGGCGTCACTTCGCACATAGGGAGGTGACCTGCCAGAGGTCCCAGAGACAGGGAGTGGCAGAGTCACCTCCACAACTCAGGATTCCAGCTCCTAATAGGCTGCTTTTCCTACCATCATGTTTACCCTTTACCCACACCAAACTTTCCCACTCTACTTTCTGCAAAAAAAAAAAACCGT